TAATCACCAGCAACTATCTCTGTTCTTGAAAGTGGCTTTTGCTTCTCAGTATAATGGACACAAAACCATTGGGATAGTCAGTGCTAGCCAAATGGTTTGGAGACCAATCTTGTCTCTCATACACACTTCCTACCATAGCAGCAGAGCTGTTTAGTTTTGTGGTACTGGCCTTGTTGCTCTGTGTGCTTCCTCACATGCAGCCCATCTGAATTAATGAAGACAAAGATTAGCTTTGCTTTTCCTCAGCTTCTGGAGGCAGGCATAAAAGCATTTTTGTGTGTGCATCTCACTGGCACCTACATACCTGTGAAGATTGCCAGTGTTGAGGTTTTGTTAATCTTCACTGAGAGGCTCCTACGACTACAGAAGCTAATCAACCACCAGTGTCCTGATGTTTCTTAGATAGGATGATCTGTACCAGTGGAATAGCCCAAATCTTTTCAGGTGCCCGTCTCTTGGATGACTACCCTACAAGGGTGACATTGAAACAGCCACTGAAACTGCAGTCTAGTGTTGCTAGTTTTGAAGGGTTGGGTAATGCATAACCAGAACAAAGAGTTGTGCCCAGAATCTTTTGATTCCCATCTGTTTCCTGCTTTGAATCTGACCTCTGACTGTTTGTTTTAGCAGATGTCCGAAGACTTTCTGTTCACTCCTCTGCTGAGCTCTCCAGTGCAAATACCTTAAATCTTTTTCTGTCCTTGCTGGTAGGATATGTAAACAGCCCTTTCCCAGTTCTTCCATGCATCTTGTCTTTGCTGCCCTTCTTAAAGTCCTTAAAGGGGAATCATGTCTTAAGATGCATCTGTAGGTTGCAGATTCTTTTTGTTTCTTTTAGGTTTTGGGGAAGCTTGGAACTGGATAGCAGGGCTGTGACTGGATAATCTGCACTATCCAAATATGAATAAAAAGTGTGCCATAGTCCATCCACTGAAACCTTCTTGTTTCCATAATCCATTGGCAGTGCTCATCTACTTGAAGTAGAAGCAAGGAAAAAAACAGGGCCAGATTTAAGGCCCCTTCAAGTTTTCTGGTATCAAAATCAGTAAAATCTGTACCTTCATAGGAACAGCTGAAATTGAAAAGTCCCTTAAATATCATAGGTGGCCTGAGTACCCAGAGAAGTAAATTAAGTCAAATATCATACACATTCAATAACTACACTGCAGTGAATGATGCTGCTATTCTCTGCTTTGGGAGGTGTTAAGATTCTACCTTTACTTATAATTACATTTTTAAAAAAGAAGATTTTTCTTACAAAACTTTCTGTGAAACTTGGAATCCCTTGTAAGGCTGAAGGCTTGGAAGCCTGGCTTTATTTCTGTCTTACTACATTCTACAGATTCTTCCAGAGGCTCAAAAATTTCTGTAGGCTCTGTTTGTCAGTATAACCCTACCTTAATTTTTACTGGAATTATGAAGTAGGGACTTTATCTTGACCAACAGGAGCAATGGAAATGGGGTTACTCTCTCACCCTATGGACTCTATGGACTCTGCCCTGCTTGTCTGCTTACCAGGGAGAACCATAGAATAATGGACATCTCCTTCAGTGATTATTTTGCAAATCAACTCTAGGATGGTTGTTTCTTACATAAAAACTGCAAAGTATTTACTCAAGAAATGTAAAAGTTATACATTTTATACATTGTATGAAATTTCCATATGCATTGTGAGACTCATTCATTTCAGAACAATCATTTTAATTGCAGGTACTAACTATCAGTAATAATTTGGCCTCCTGACTGAGAATTACAGAAATTCTCTGTTAACTGTCTGCCTTACAGCAAAACATGCTTCTTGCTAATAAATTAATCTGACAGTAAGTACTGAAGTGTATTTTTAAGTACTTTGGGTTATTAGGAACATTACAGAGTGCTTTGGAATGCTCACACTCCTTATAGGCCTCCCTCTGCTCTGCCTGAAGAATTTGTCTCAACATGAGACTGTGCCTCCTGCCAGCCCTGGGAAGGGCTGGGATCCCCTTCCTTGGCTCGTGAGGATTAATTTCCTCTTCCTCCGGAGAATGGGAACTGCATTAGGGAACACTGCAAGCTGCCACCTCCACGGCCTGTTCCTTGGTTGGAGAGGATCAAAGCGGGGGAAGCTTTGACCGTCCAACAGTAAAACTGGTCCCTGCCTCGCCTCCTGCCTTGCTTCCCTGGGTTGCCTGCATGGGCATAGGCAGGGGCTCCAGTTCCCAGTCACTACAGAGCAGAGCAGGATCACTGCGGTGATGGGAACCGAGGACGGTGCCCAGCCCCAGCACGGCTGTAGGGCAGCGAGGCTGTAGCTTCAAGTGGGTGATGCTGGGGCTCTCGCCCACCAAGGGTTTCACATCCATCTGGTTCCAGCCCAGGCCTTTGGACTGAGGGCCCAATAGCCAGTGGAGTGTATTATGGCCATTCCTACAGTTAGTTTTCCTGTTAAGCTGAAAGGAATCCACTCAATGCCCTCCAAGACTGGCTCATGTTGCAGAGGCACATATAGTATGTGAGGACAGATGGGAGATGCCTTTCAGAAGGGCTTTGAACTGAAGTGTCATCATAGACCACAGTGAGCAGTCAGTGGGACACAGCCAGGCTGGCAAAGGGACAGGCTTCCCAGAGCCATGTTTAATTGGGGACTATTCTGAAAGGCTTTGTAGTCCTCTAAATAGTTTTTTTTTACTGCAGCCCGAGGAAGGGATACATGTTGGAGAAGTTCATGGAGGACTCTCGCCCGTGGGACGAACCCCACGGGGTTAACAGGAGAAGAGTGTGAGGAGTCCCCTCCCTGAGGACGAAGGAGCGGCAGAGACAAAAGTGTGGTGACTGACCACAGTTCCCATTTCTCTTCCCTCTGTGCTGCTGGAGGGGAGAAGGTAGAAAATTCAGGAGTGAAGCTGAGCCCGGGAACAAGAGAGGAGTAAGGGGAAGTTGTTCTAAGGTGTGTTTATTTCTCATTACCCTGCTCAGATTTGGTTGGCAATAAATTAAATTAAGTTCCCCAGCCTGCAGCCCCCGCCAGCCGGCAAAGGAAGGCCGGGAGAGGGCGCTGGTGGCAGGGAAATGCCCGGGGAGGCCGTGCCGGGAGCGGGACCCAGGGAGCGCCGGGCTCCGCAGGGATGCCGGCACTCCCGGCGTGCCGGTGCCGCTCAAGAGCAGCTCCAGCTCTCGTCTGCAAATACAATTTGTGCTGTATTATTTACATATATTGTATTAGTGCAACAAATCTCTTATGGCTGGGTGTGTAAAGATAGTGAGACCACACTCTTTCCAGTGGATCCCAGTGACAGGAGCAACGGGTACACAAAAAGCACAGGGAGCTCCATCTGAATATGAGGAAAAAATCTCTATTGCATGGGTGACAGAACACTGGAACAGACTGCCCATATATGCTGTGGAATCTGCTTCCCTGGAGACACTCAAAACGCACCTTGGTGCAATCCTCTGCAACCCCTTTCTGCTTTAACAGAGGGGTTGGACAGGGTGGTCTCCAGAGGTCCCTTCCAACCCCAACCACTCCGAGATTCTGTGATTGTGACTGGTACCCAGAGAGTCCTGCTGCTGCGGACAGAAGACAAAGGTGTGCTGATGGTCATTATAAATGTCAGAACACTCGAGACAGCTCAAAGCTCATAAATAGGAAGAGGAAAAATCGTGGCTGACACGTCTGCTGTGTAGATAAAGGGCCTTCTCACTTGACGTGCAGCAGCACAGGCTTCACCATGCTTGGGCTGGGAGCAGACATGCAGATGAAAATGCTGAGCATGGTTTTTTTTTCCCTGGGGTATTTTGCAGTGTGACGTTTATATTTTGCACCCCAAGTATCAGCTGCTTGTACAGGAAATTTTCCACTTTGATTTCCCAGGAAGCCAGGCCCTGCCTCAGGACTGGGTGGTTTCCTGTAACTACAGGATCATTGTTGGAGGGATGGGGTCTGTTCCAGCTTCACTGTGTTCCTCAGTGGCACAAGACAGGTATACTAAAAACTAAGCCTGACTTTTTCCTCCTCCTTTGCCCTTGTTGCTCAACTATCTGTACTTTGGCTCCAGTGAGATCACCTCACTGCTTTGCCAGTAAATTTTCCACCAGGGCAGCTAAATTTCTAACTTGGAGGAAAAACAAGGGGTTGAAGAAATGTGGGGAAACCATGAAGCACTTGTACAGTAACTTCAACAAGAGCCAGGCCTCTGGGACACGTCACACAAATGCCAGCACAGACACACTTCTTCCTCCCCAGTGTTATTTCAGAACTACCTGAAAGACGTATGTAAGATAGTGTGAATGCCAGTGCATTCACCTGCACTTAGTCTTTCATTCCTATTGTGGGGCAAGACAGATTTAGCTAGAGAAAACAAAAGCCAGCAGGAAGCAGAGGAGCTTAACTGCATGGCTAGAAGTGGTATGTATTAGCAGGCGAGCTGGGTCTTTTGTTGGAATGAACAAATGTCTCTCCTCCCTCTGCAATGCCTGCTGTCCCCTGGGACATCCTGCTTTCTTGCCTGCTAGTCCCCAGTGTCACTTTCCTTTGAGCCTTTGGCAGGAAGGCTGTCAGCACACAGCAAGAACCTGTTCTGTGCTATGAGCTAATTGTGGCTCTGCCCTTGACGTTCCTTGGGGCACAAGGCGAGTTCATCTGTGAATATAAATTTTCCCCCACACCCAGCTCTAAAATGGGGAGGAGATGCCTTTCTCCACTTCCCCCATGGGATTTGGAGAGCCCTGCTCCTCACAGGCTCTCACTTGTCCCAGGCACACAGAGCCTGTTGGGCATCTGACCATCTGCCTGAGCAAAGGCTGCGTTTGTTTGCTCCCTGCTGGCTGCCGGGGCAGGGCTGTGCCGGGGTGTGCCGAAAAGCCAACCCTGACTGCATGTTTGCACAAACAGATGCAGCGGGCTCTGCTTTGACAAGGGTATTTTTAAATCCGCTCCAAACGCTTGTCAAGCCAGCTGTTCTACAAGGGAGTTGAAGGGCATTGCCAAAGCTGAGTGCCAGTAGAGACAACGTACCCAGCAATTTGGAAATAAAGGGCCTCTTTATTGAGTAAGGCACTTCATGGCCCCAAAGACAAGGTGCTGTCTTCTCCAAACACTCAGAAGAAATAACTCTATTCACTGGCATACTGGTAGCTCTTCCCAGGAGAGCTGCTTTGGGGATTCAGGTGGGTTTTGTTCCTTTAACTGTGAGGAGCTGAGCTATGATGCCATGGCTGGGCTGGTGTCTGTCATGCAACGAAAAAACTGTTCCTGCCTGTCACCTTGATAGTCAGGTGCTGGTTGTGTCCAGCTTGGCAAAGCTCAATATGCTAGAGGTGTCTGCTGGCACAGTGTGGCAGTTAAAATACACGGCTTACATTTTTGGCCATGGGACAATGACATTTGGAAATTTCATTCCCAAATCTGTGCTTGGGAGAGAGAGTGGCTCTGAAGAAAAGCACACCCTATCCCATGGCCCTGTGGGCATCACTGCCAACGTGCAGAACTGGGGTACAGCGAGGGAGGGAGGAGGTTGAGACCGTGTGGGACACCTGGCCATGCCTGATGTGCCACACCACAGCAGGGCTCTGCAGTCCCACAGACAGCGAGGGCAGCGTGGGCCTTTCCTGGGCCAATGCTCAGCGGCAAAACCCTCCCAGCGGCTGCCAGGAATAAACACCTCGCCCCCATGGGGCGATGGAAACAGCCACGGGGCTCTTGTGGCAGTGGTGATGGTGCAAGGCACGCCGCTGTCTCACAGGATGAGCTGGCACCCCACCCGTCCCTGTCCCCAGTGCTCCGTCATTCCTGAGCTGGCTGGGGGGAGCTGCTGGCCATGGCTGGGCCATGGCTGGCCCTGCACCCCCGGCCCAGGCTGTCCCCATGCTGCCTCTCCATGTCACACAGCCTGAGGTGGGAAAGGTAATTTTTACCGTGGCTTTGGAAAGCCCCTCTCCACCAACGCCATAGGAAGGGGGTGGGTTATTTGATTGTTTCTCCTCCTCTCACATTCCTGGAAAGAGAGGCCAGCGCAAGGCAGGCGCTGTGGAGCAGGACCATGAGTCAGGAGGGTTGGGGTCACCGCCTGCCTCTCCCTGGGGTGCTTGGGGGAGCTGGGCCAAGTCACAGCCCTGTGAGACGCTTGGCTTGGAGCTGAACCACATGGCCAAAACTGCTAATCTTGTTTTGGGTTTCCCCTTAGCCTGATCCCATGTTGTCTGCCCAGCACCAACTGTGCTCAGAGCTGGCTTGAGCTGCTGGTACCTTGTGGTACACATCAGACCCTGAGGGACTGGAGGCTTTGCTGGAAACAAGGCTTCTCTTCAGCATGGGCTGGGATGACAGGGACTTCAGCTCCTTCTCTTCCCCAGGTCACAGCAGCTCTTGCTCACCGGATTGCCTCTCACCATGGGGCTGAAACTCCCACTGGAGGCTCTGGGACACCTTGTACTCAGTCCATGGAAACCTGCATCTCTATGCAAGAACACAGTCAAGGAGTGGGAAAGTTACATACAATTTCCTTTTATGTCACAGAGACCAAAACGTGTATCCCTTCCGCCTCAACTTTCACTGCCAGGCATAAGATGCTCTGCAGGAATGTGTTTCCAGCCAAAATGTTGAAGTCCCTCTGCTTCAGAAAGAGAAATGAAGCATTTGTTGGCCCAGCGAGAAAGCTTCTTTACTGACCAAACACCACTGCACCCCTTGGACAGAGGCCTGGGCTCTCTTAGCCCTGCTCCAATTTCACAAGAAAAAGCAAAGCACATGCTAGAGAACAAATGGGATCTGGACCTCCTCTCCCTCTCATGACTGCTGTTATCATTAGATAACAGCAGAGGCCCAAGTCATTCTTTCCTTCTCATCTGATCTTGTCTCTGGAGAATGCAGATTAAGAGGCTCAAGAGGTCTTAACGCCCACATTTGTGGAAGGCCAGAGTCCTTGGCCTCTCCTGGGTTCACACCTGCTGCTGTACACACCAGGACACTCTGGGGAGTCTGTGGCTGCTTCTAATCAGATTTTCCTGATTTCAGCACAAGCTGCCCAAATCCCATGACAGAAGCTTATGGTGCAAAGATTCCTGGCACTCTGCTGTATCAAATAAGGTTTGACATTGCAGCATCCTACATCGTATGTTGGCAGAGATTTGTTCATGCGATCCAAACCCCTGAATGCTGTGTGCAGAATGGAATGGAGAGGCTTCCTCCAGCTTCTTTATCTTTCCAGTTTACAATCTTCTTTCCTGCCTTCACTCTGATGAACCACGTCCTGCAATCACACAGCTCCCTCAGATAGTAATTTCAGATAAATTGCGAGTTCCTGGTGGGAGCACTCCCTAAAGCAGAAGAACCACTTTGAGTGAATTCACCAAATGCACTGTCATTATTTCAAAATCACATTAGAAAAGACCTCATTTTCATTTACTTAGGGATGTGTCCCCACCTGCTGTGAAATATTACTATGGTGCTTAATTTAATCCTCACCAATTTTTATGCTTTTTTTTCTTTCAAAGATCTAAGCAAGTTGAGCTTGGGGAAGACTCTACTTTCAGATGTGTTATGTGATCTACTGCAGGACCAACTTCTGGTAAGACAGGCTGCCAGGGCCTGGCATGTGTCGTTTTTCCTGTAAGACCACTTCTTCCCCCCTGTTGCAGACACACACACAGTGAGCCCTTTTTCACCAGCCCTCCTTACCCCTTACTTTCTCATGTAGTCCAAAGATTCCCTACCCTGGAAAAGGGTTCTTTTGCAGGGCTGGGGCCCATCACTGGTCCCTGTTGGTCTGACACATTTCTGCCCACGCAGACTCCAGGGTGGAACCTTGCTCCTCGTGTTACCACCAGGTTTGGCTCTCTTCAAGTGCTCTTCTGTGTGCAGACCATGCAGACGAAGCTCCCAGTGTGACCCCTCACAGACTGTCTGGGCACCTCTGTGTGGGTCACTCTCACTTTGTCAAGGGCAGGCATTCCCCAGCAACACACCATGAGACACTTTTTCCTAGCACGGGCTGGAAGCCCAAAGTTCTCATGTGACTCCAGAGGCTGAGGCAATGGACACGTGTCTCTGTGTTAATCCAGCCCTGGAGACCAGCCCCACCCCAGGAGCTCAGAACACAGCCAAGCACCCTTCAGATTCAGGCTCCAAATCTCAGAGGATCAGACTTAAATGACTGGCTCTGAGGACTGCAATTTCGGAGACGTTCCCTTATTGACCTGCAAGTGACCACTGCCAGCAAACACCACCCGTGGGTTGGGGTGAGGCTCATGGCTGGGCTGGGGCTGGGGTTGCCAGAGCCCTGCCAATCAGGGCTGCAGACATGATGCTTCAGAGAGCATTGGCTTCGAAGGCAGTGCTCATCTCTCTCCATCTGCTGAAACAAGCTGGCAAAGGAGAGAAGGAATTTAGCACTGTATGGAATTTGGCTATCCAGAAAGGCAAGAGAGAAAAAACCCCAGAGACAGAAGTAAAGAGTGATCAGTAATCATGCCTTTAATAGCTTGTAAATAATTTTTTTTAAATTCCAGGCAACTAAGATGTGCATTTGTTGTGTGTATCTGACATCTGAAAAAAAACAAGACCACAATCGGTTCTGTTTCTTCCCTTTTCTAAAGCACATAAGTTAAAGTATCAGTCATCTCAATATACAACAGTTTAATGAAAGAAAAGGGCTTGCTCTGTTTTTACAATTCAGTGTCACCTGTTACCTGAAGCATTAGACAGACTTTTAGCTACAGAACTTTCTTACAGCAAATAGGAAAACTCAGAACTTAGGCTGTCCAGAAAAATTCAAGAAATTTCCACTCCCTGCTCTCAAACTCCACTTCCTACTAAAGCATCAGAATAACATTTTCCTGTTAGAAAACAAAATACTCCAAAAACTCTTCAAACACACCAGGGAAACACTGTCTGTACCATAGAGCTTATTAAACTCAAAACACGAAAGGTGCAACAGCCTCCTCTTCCACAACTTAAATACAGAACCTGAATTCAGGTCAGGATGAACAAGGGCAGAAAATGCCAAAGTACAGGTGGCCTTTGGTGCCTGTTACTGCTCAGTGGCTTCCTGAGCTCAGTATCCAGTAAATGCTGTCAGCTGTGACAGCCCCTGCAGCCTCAGGGACCTCAGCCCACGCAGCAGATCTGGCTGAGGCCTTTTCATGATTTCCTTGCTGAACTTAGCTCAACCCCGCCTTGCACAGCCAGGATTGGAATTCATATGGAAAGACATTAAGGACCCTCCTCTCACTCTGGTGCTGAGGCTCAGCCCTTGTCACAATTCAGCCAAGTAGCTCTGGCGACCACCCAATATTCTTGACCATGGATGGTTTCTGTAGGTGTCAGATCACTTTATCAGCAATACAGCATGGCCTTTGATGGAGGGGCGTTGCCCTTGCCTTTTCCCATTACAGGGCACATGAGCACCATGTCCATGGGGCTGCTCCTCATGACACTGCTGGGAGCTGGTAGGAAAAGCCTGTGCTCTAGCACAAGACAGATCACACAATGAAATGGGACTTAGGCAGAAACAGCTCAGATGGCTGATATATCCATCCGTTCCCTAGCACTGAATAGAAAACCTCTGATCTAGGCAGGAAAAAAGGATGAAAGAACACAAAATGAAGCAAAAACGTGACCTTGCTGCTTTTTCATCTTCCATAGTTTTGACTAAAGAACTTGACCTATAAGTGCAGCTAACTCCAGAGACCAATGTACTCTTTCACAGTCTTGTGTGTGTGCAGCACTAGAACCAAGTCACAACTACAGGTGTGAAGGAACAACGTCACAGTCCTCAGAAGACCTGCTCTGTGCACTTGCCAGTGCTTGAGTTTGCTGATAAAGTTAAGCAAAGAGGTTCATTCTTCTCGAGCACAAAAAAAATCTGTCAAACCAGCTTCTATGACAGAGATTCTAAACTGACATAAATAATTATAATCTTGATTAAAAATAATATATTATTCTAGATTTTTGGTTTTTTAGTTCTCATGTAAAACCCCTATACTCTTGACATCTAAGAACAAAGACAAAATAAAAACCAGGCACTTGCTGTGCCTTCTCAAGCACTATTGTGGTGTTTAAGGGACACAGAGGAATTTAACAACTGAGATTAATGCCTACAGTGGAAAACAAGAGGTGTTCTTCATGCCGTTGGCTTTTTCAAGTCTCGGATTTGCTTAATCAGGTAGTTCTTCTCATCAGTGAATTGTTCGTCGTCCGTCCTTTCTTTCTGGAAATTGCTCAGAAACTCAATTAGCTTGGGTTGGTTTTTCAACAGGATCTCCACAATAGGCTGTGTTTTGTTTGGACTGGCCACAAAAACCTAACATGCAAACAAAATCAGGCACAGAGAGACAGCAAGGGGGTGGGGACAGAGAGAGAGAGAGAGAGAGAGGGAAGCATCAGTCACAACATCCCCATAAGTTACTTTTTAACAAGGCTAGCAGGCAGATACTCTACTGATACACACCTTGTCTGTGCCAAGGCAGTCAGACAGGAGTTCAAACATGTTGGTTCGACAGCAAACTGAACCAAAACTATGCCCGCATGTGGTATCACTTCCCTTTCACTTTGCTCTTTGGTGATAAAAACTTTTGACTGTAAATCCAGCTGTTGAGAGGGAGTTATCAATTCTCAGCCTCTTCCCACCCACAAGACAAATACACAGAAATCAATTATCAGGAGAACAGAAACGCTTTGTGTCAGTATTGATATCATTTCCGTTTTAACCAGGCCTAAAATTAGACTTGCCACCTTTGTTTCGGTTTGGAAAAATATGTCAGAGGCCTCACTTCCCTCTGCCTAATCCATTCATGGGAGCGTGGAAACAGCAGCAGGAGCAGGGGGATTGTGGTGTGCCCAGCACCTTTGCAGCCCTTGCTGACCAGAGGAGGGTGACAATGCAGGAAGGTGACGTGAGACACAGATACTCACCTGGCACAGCCAGCCCAGCACTGTGGGCTTACTGGCCTTCTTCAATGCTCTGATTTTTCCTTCTGTAATCGCTAAAGCTGCACTTTTCCAGCTCTGAACATGACCCCTCATGCCACAATGCTATTTCTTTAACATTTTCTCTGGGTTAAGTGCAAACCTAAGGCTGGTTGCAAAGGCCAGCGGTGAAAGGCTCTTTCAGGGACCTCGGGATGCCACAGAGATGGGGCTCTCTTTTCTGGAATGTTGCTCAGGCGCTCAGGATGGGGCAGGGGCTCACAGTGGGAACACATGTGCAGTGCACCCCGGCCACCCCGTGGGCAGCTCCCACATCTGGAGCACACCAGGGTTACCATGGCTGGTCAACAAACAGCGCCTGAGTGCTTGTGCAACGACAGAAATAACTCCAGTTATTCTCTACCCGATGAGAAGAAATTAAGGATGGACAGAGCTGGAAAGCGTCCAGTTTCCCTCCAAGGCTGTCCAAGCCAGAATGAAAACAAACATCTGCTGACAGTACAGAATGGCATGTTGTCCTGCCGAGCACGGGCAGCACCACCACTGCTCCCAAGCTGGGGCTCTTCTGCAGGTCCTTCTGCCTCCCCTGAGGTTGTGCCCACAGGAAAACCTGGGCCACATCCAGCTGCTCAGGGAGGAGCTGTGCTACCTGCTGAGAATCATGCATGCTGTCCTGGGGGCTGTGCCACAGCCTCTTGTCCCTAAGACAACACCTGGTAAAGGCTGGGGCAGGGTACAGACTGCACCCACCATTAGGCTTCATACTCCAATATCAGAGGAGGTTATACCAAGTGGTGGGGAAAGTGCCACATCAGGGGAACATGTGGAAGGAGTGGAGTTCAATACACACCAACAGTATCCCACTGAGCACTTCTGCCCAAACAGGAATCTTCAATTTTTCATTTCACAAAGGTGAGACAGAGCATCTGCTCTTAAACCCTGGCATCCTGATGCTAGAATAGTCTTAATCTCTGTCTGTGCTTTTGTCTCCTCTGGATCCGTCCTCCTCAGGCTTCTCCTAAAAGTGCCTGCTGCAATCTTCTTTGCCCTCTGCTGTGCAGAAAGAGCTGCAACCTCTGCCATGCTGGGAGAACACTTCCCAAGTGCATTACAAAGTTTTCCTTGATCTGGTGTCCAGGCCATGGTCCCAGTGCCAATACACTATCTACAGTTATTCACACAGGCCTCCACCTTGCTCTTCTCTAATTACCCTGAGCCATCATTTTATATGGTTCCTTTTTATTCCCACTTGCCACCTCAAACTTCTCACGTGCAGCACTAACAGCCCCCAAGGATCCCTTTTGAGCAGCCCCTTTCCTGCACAATGCCTGAAGTACTCACAGGGCAGCCTCGTACCAGGGACCCATCTGCCTGTGGGTGGGATGGCCAGATCCCAGCTCTCACTACACCTGAGGCACTCTCAACAGCTGCAGCATCTGAAAGCAGCTTCTCCTCCTTTGCAAATTACTTTGATACACTGCTATTGATGCATTGGTTCCCCTTAGACCATGAGAAAAAGGGTTTGGGGATGTAAATATGGACGTGCTTTACAGCTTTCCAGTCTGTGCTTTATCTACTTGAATCTTGAGACCTCCTGAGTATGGACATGTGGCTCTGGATGAGGCTGCAGCACTTCATGCTCTCAGCTGCAGCAGCCCCAGGATGCAGCTCCCTGTGTGCTGACCTACAGCAGGTGATCATGCTGATGGAAGCTGGATACTTCCAGGATTTGGACTATGATAAACCCCCAGTCATCTGGATGAGCTGCCATGGGGAAAAGCAGGATGTAAGCCTACAGGTGGGGATTTACAGATCTTCATAAAAAAAATTATTTTGGAGTTCAGTTCACCCTTGGTGATGAGGAGAAGCCATCAAATACACTGGCAAGATCCTCATGTTCAGAAATCATCTGATGACAATGCAAATGGAAACCATCAAAGAAGGCCTGACCTTGAAGTGCTGAACATCTTCCTTCAATGAATATTAGGCCTCCCTAATATTTATCTGAAGGGTGACTCTCAAAATGAAGAAATCTAAATAATTCTTGTTGTAAAAGCTCTCTGCTCTGCAAACAGAACTGGAGGGTTGGTGGTAAGCCTAGTAAATAGCATTTCACATTGGACCTACCACTGGTATTACCATAGCAAATAATAAAGAACTTAGTTTCATAGAAGCCATCACATCCTGTTTATTTTCCTGTTCAACTATTTATAGATTACAATCTTCCCCTCGCAAAACTGGCAAAGTGAACATTCAAACAAAGATCATCTCAACTGCCAGTCTTGCTCAGTGTCAACAGGGACTCGTAAAGAGAGAATGTTCAAGGACCAGAAAATTCCTGAAACGTTATTCAACACTTTGGCTAAGCAAACAAAATCAATTCTGTCAGTATCAACTGACCAGTTTCACAGAGCCCAGGAGCAGGACCACCACAAGACTTTATGTTAGAAAGGGTCTCCCTCATTCAGAACTCTGTGTTGGCATAGAGTAGGAGATCAGTCCCTAAAACCAGACACATTATTAATGCTATCTGGAACATTTCAACTAAAATGAAGTTGGATCAAACCACAGAGGACTTGGTTTCACCTGTGGTTTTATTATGAAAATATATATGTTCTAGAGTACTAAATTCAGATAGACGAGAGAGAGGGAGACCCAAAATAAAGACAGTACCCATTTAAAATTCCAACTCTAAATATAGCTGTCTCAAAACAGAAAAAGCTCCATTTCATGAGTATTTGTGAAAGACCTGGAATGAAAATCAACTCCAAAGCTTCAAAAGTTGTCCAAAGTGCAATAATTGTTATCTTCTCCATTAAAAGTCTTTATGTATTTCTTCAAAGAAATATTAAAATAACTTGATTAGAGACTTTGACCTTATTTCCTTACAATTAATAACCAGGCATTACAACCTTCTGGGGCAAGACCAGAGCAAGAGCGATTACAGGATGCCCTGGACTGAGTATTTTAGGACTTGCTCTGGGGTCAAGCACAATGTCACTGTCAGGACACTGCACACACAGAACACACACAGTTCATGCTGCTTTTAGCACAATGCTTCACATAATAATCCTTGTCCTTTAGATTACCCAGCTGAGAAACAGAGAGCACACATCCCTGCAAACACAGCCTCAGCTTCGTACCAAGAGCAAACTGTCAGTATGGTCAAATTATGTGAGGCCGTTTGCAGAGCGAGCTGCAGGAGGTAGCTAGTAATGTGCATGAAAGAGAATGGAAAAATGAAACTGAGGTCACAAAACACTGTGTACCCATTCTATTTTTAGATTTAAACAGTAAAATACATCTTGCTAAATGTCCCTTTAAGTCATATAATCCCAGCTCACTGCTACAGGGTGTTTTCCTCAAAATTAGCAAATTGTGTATGTGAAATCCAAGAGAGCTGTTCCTATCCTTTGTTTTTGAATATGTGAGGTTAGAGGAATCCCTGCACCATAGGTCTGAAAGATACAGCCTTCCCTACAGACAGGTGAACTCGAAGTAGGCTCCACAAATGGAGCACATCACAAACCCACCACAGGAGCTGGAAAGCCCTTCCCAACATTTGATCCCCAAAGTGTGTGCACTCAAGACTGACGTCTCTCCACTGAAATCACTGCCAAGAGCCAGTGCCTCTCAAAGCCTACCACTCTAAGTGATCCCCTTGGATTTATTTATGAAGGAGGAGGGAAAAGGTGAGGTCTGTTAGCTTTTTCTCATGATTAAATACTGGGTAATCCTTATGCGTACGTTGCCTGGGACATCCAGTTTTACAAAGCAGCTGCAGACCTTTAGGAAGGTGCTGCAAGGCACTTTTTCAGGTAAAAAAAAAAAAAAAGAGAGAAGGGACTGGAGTTAGGAGGAAGATCAATCATCTCCTAAGTGAAGAATGGAAAGAGTCACAGAAAGTGGGCACTCTGTCTTCATTTTCTCACTCACAGTAAATTGGATGAATTAAATATTCTCAGAGCTTGGGGGTATTTGAAAATTGGCATTTTCAACCACAAAATGTTTCTCCAAAAAAAGTTTGTACTAGAAGTGCTCATCACTTTCATCTCTAGCTCACAGTTTCAAATCTCCAATAATTAGAAATTGCCTCAGGCAGCAAGAGTCACAAGCCTTTTTTTTTGGGTCAGCTGGGGCACAGGAGCATTGGAATCTGGATGCTTACAAAACAAACACTTTTTCATTTCAACTGTGTCTAACTGGTGAAACATCTAAATCAGGTAATTTAAACCCAAATCTTTTGGCAGCTCAGACAGAGCAGCAAGTATCCACTTCTCAGCAGACCTTTGATTCCAAATCACTGTGGTTAGTCTACTGTAATTTCAGCCAGGACTGCATAGGTATTTTGCAAGCATAATTTAAAAATACAGGCACAGTTCAAAATTTATGAAATTAGAAGCTGAGGACAAGATTCCTCTCCCAGTTACATTAACATGGAATATTACAGCTGACAAGAGAACTGGGCTGAGGGACACAAACCCAGAAACAGGAGGCAGGGATGCTGTAGAACTGAGCACAAACAAACTTAAAGACAAAGCCAGTGTTTAAATACATAAGGATTTCAGTAGTTCTCAAGAAGTTAGTACTCAATTTAAGATGTGAAATCAGAGGGAAAAGAGCTTCTCTGACCCTCTCTACAAAGCTAATTCACAAAGCAATTTCCTGTAACAAACCCTGTAAGGACCCTTCTCCTGGGGAGGAGCTGGATGCTACTAGATCCAGGCAACCCAGATCCTCAGTGAGGAGGATCCTGAAAGGGGTCCTGCTGCACCTCTCAGTTACTCTGTAGTGTGCTGCTGGAGGTTGTGAACCAGCAATTTCCAGCTGATCAGGCTCTGCTCTGAGTCTGCAGCTCCCCCACCACAAGCTCTGTGCATGTGAGGCAGTGTGAGGAATGCCATGGGAATGCCTTGGCCCTGCTGAAATGCTGCTGACTGGCAGCACTGGAAAAGACCAACAACATCCCATGGAGGTGTCTGAGGACAGAGTTTGGCCCTTTGAACTGAAGAGACACAACACCACTGTTGCTCATGGTTTGTTTTGCTGGCACTCCGAGGTCCAAGCTTTATGTCCACATGGCAGGAACTGCAAGTGGTCAAGCAGGGATGGGCCTGCAACATTCCCACTCTAACTGGAAATGGGATGCAACATTCTTGAAGGGAGGAATAGGAAGGCAAAATGGGAGGAACAGCAATGTGTGAAATTGTTGCATACTGGAAACCTTTTACATTATTCCAAGTCCTTTTGAATGTCTCCTAAAATAAGTGAAATCAGCCATTCCCAAGGCCTGGTCCATGCCTATTATTAATTCAGGAACAGCAACTCATGTCTTTCATAAATAAAAATCTTGCATTTATTCACAGAGTGGCTAAGAAACCCAAATCCTCCGATACCTTCTCTCCACTGGCATCTCAAAGGTTGCAAGTGCCTGGAGCCAGACTGCTGGCTTATCTTGGAGCCACACACCTTCTGATAAGGAGGAGGAGGAGGAGTACAAGTTACTCACAGTGGTTCAGTTGACTGGAGGAAGTCAGCAAGGGAACAGCTTACCAAGCTGCTTATTTCACAAAAGGAATTTTCTTTTAATCCTCCTTGAAGTTTTTTTTTCTTTTACAAAACTGAAAGCTTTTTGGAGAAGCTGCATATTCTCTAAGTCTCCACACTGAAGATCTGAAAGCTTTTTTCCCCAAATCAAAAATGGCAAAAGTACAAAATTTAACAAGTCACCCTGAATTTGTGGAGGGTGTTGTAACCTGTTTCCACAGTCATTTGGTGTTATCTGGTATCTTTCTTAGCCAACTTAGGGAAGGGATATCCTTAGAGGCTCAAAATTCCTTTTCTGATAATCATTAACAACTCTATTTATAGTTTGAAATTAACATGTTCATTCCAAATTGGAATTAGTTTTGCATAAACAATCTGACTCACCCTCTGTTCCAGAGCAGAGAACTCTTTTGATAGGAAAATGGTAAATTTCTAACTTATTTTATTAACACTGATCATCATGAAAAAAGGGACACTGGCTGTGTCAGGTAATTGTTTAACACTGCATTAATGTCACTGCAAAATGATGGAAGGATAAAACTAATTTCAAGCTCAGATTAACCAAACCTTTAAAAGCATACTGTGCTTGCCCTGATGCCCAGCACCAGCAACACCTACTTTTAATCTAAGGTAGAGTTTTAAGACCTTTTTTTCATCTTTCCCCAGAATCACATGGTAAAATGATTCAGGAGTGGGGAGAAGGTTCCCTGGATTCTACCTAGAAGTTGTGTATTTTGTTACCTGTAGCTTATGGCTACTTAACTGACTACCCCCAGCTCAAACCAAAATGATGCTGCTTTAGGTCTCACCTGAAAGCCCTTTTCAATTATGACACTCAAATACTGCAAGTAATTGTAAACCTCAACTTTGCCTTAATTTTCTGGACTTCCTTTTGTCTACCTTGAAAGATATTTTTATGAGTAGAAGAGAAAGTCTGCCACATCTACAAGTCATACTGGCTCACCTTGAACACATGGAATGCTTCAAACTGAATGTTGGGGCTTTTATCTCGCAGCAAGTTCATCATCAGCTTCAGGTTTTCTGGTTTGCTGATGTATTTCGTCATGATGGCGAAGTTGTGTCGGTCCAGAATCAGTTCACCCAGAAGCTGTAAGCAAAATTAGAAAAATCATGTGCTCATCTTCTAAATACTACAGAGGGGGATCCTGCATATGGGCTGGGTGTAACAGGTGCTGGTGTGAGTAGCTGGGACAAAAGCAAGTGTAGACAAAGACACCCTCATTTCATTCCCATGTTACATTCACACCCTCCTCTGCTTCCATGTGCAGGCCATGTCACACTTGGTGCCTCAGACAGAGACTGCCACCTTACTGCCAAGCTCATTTGAGCCAATGTCCTGAACCAAAGCACAGATCTGAGCTCAGAGAAGTGACAGCACTCGTTCCATAGGAATGGCCCAGTGCTTCCCCAGAGGCCCAGGAGAGAAGACACAGTGAGCTCCTGTGCTTTTCAGGAAGAGCATCACAAGCCCTTAGTTCTGCTGTTGATAGAAAAATGGCTGCTCCATTGCCCTACATGCACCTTGATATTCTGCATAACACAGAGTAAAAGCTTAAGAGGAAAGTGCTCAGAGACTTTACCTTCAAAGACTGCCTCTTTGTTACATAATTCTCAGAATGAAGGAGTTTTTCATAGTCCTCAAATATCTAGAATAACAAGAAAAAACAAATGCATCAGATTCATGTCCACCCTTCCTTCTTTTGGTCCTTCTCACCCCAGAGGAGCAGCAGAGGCTGCAGCAGTGCCACCCTCTAGCACTTCACTGCAGTGCCAGGCCCAGCTCTTGTGGCCTTGGCTGGTTATCACACAGTGAGTGAACTAATGCCCAGGAACCCTCCTCTTCCAAGTGCTGCAGAGGGGGAATACCTCATATGGACTGGATGGAACAGGGGCTGGTGTGAGCCAACTGGGACAGAAGCAAGCCAGTGCCTGGGCAGCCTTCTCTTACAGAAGGGTGACTCTGCTGCCAGGACATGTGGGTCCAGCACATAACTGGGAACATCGTGGTCATGCCTGGCTGTGTGACTCAGTGCAACACCCCAAAATGGTGATGGGACATCCCAAATGCTCCTTTTGTGAGGTGCCACCTCGCCTGCCTTCAGCACTGCCACTTGTTAAAGCTCTTTGCCCAGCAAGGGTCACTAGGAGCAAAGTGTGTGCTGGATTTTGCAGGGATGGATCAAGGGGATCTTGTGGTCAGGAAGACTGAGAGATAAGGCTGCAGAATGTTCAGACTATCTACCAAACAAGCAGGAAAAATCAACACTGCTGTCCAATAGTCACAAAAAAAAAAAAAACCCAAAAAACAAAACCAAACCAAAACAAAAAACAAACCAACTTGCTTAGACAATTGATACTCAAAAATGGAAAACGTCAGATAAATGTAGAATGGGGACTGTTCCAGTACAGCGCTCTAGTATTAAGGGAAAAGATTAGCAGAGACACTTATTTTGCTCCAGCTAAGCTGCATTAGTGACTCAGCAATAATAAGCCTGCTCTTTATTTAATCTTCATGGTAATCAGAATGAAAGAAATTTGTCTTTTCATTTTGGCAGTGAAATAAAGAACACCTCAGGTAACACAAAACCATGACCCATAGTTTAATTCCATGATCTGTACCAATCCAATTTTAGTTCAATCCAATGGAATTTTTCTGACCCACATTTGGTTCAAAAGGGAGCCAAAAAATCAAAGTGAAAAATAGCAACTAACCAAGGGACTAATTGCCTTAGGAAGGTAATAGGAATACTCAGACCTCAGTCCCTCATTCAGGTGCATGCAATTTCCAGTAATGCTAAAACCTGTTTCAGTAACTCTTCTCTTCTGTCCCAAAGTAGAGTAAATAACTCCAGTATGGCCCTGTCGGTGCTGGGGTATCACAAAACTGTTTAAAACCATGCACAGGTTTTCTCCCATGATCTGTTTGCATGCAAAGTTTCAGTTCCATTCACACTTGAGGAGATCTGATGCACATGGCGAGGAACAAAACTTGCTCTTAACCTCGGAATTCTCCTGAGACCTTGGCTGTGTCCCCAGCTGTGCAGAGGGGGTATCTGCATCTCACATGCCAGGTGTGGATTCTGCTCCAAAGCAGTGTTTGGTTTTGCAGTTCTATGTGAGGAGTTTATGCAGAGCACGAAACTCCCTGTGCATTTTTTTTTCAGCCAAGCATAAACAGATTTTTTAAAAAGCCTTTCAGCATTGATACTTACTACATCATAATTTTGTTCCAGAAATTCTGCCACCAACAATTTGTGTCGCGTTAGCAGGTCCTGGGGAAGAACAGAGAAAGGTTACCTGAGAGAGCAAGTGCCTGTGATTGTCCCTGGATTCTCAAATGTATTTCAGCAGTTTTGAGCAGAAAGAATTTACAAGATGATTTCTATAGACAACACTGCATTCATTAAGTGGTGAGTAGGACTTTTAGGGGAGTTAATGTAATAATGCTAACAGAATCAAGACAGACCTATTCTAATACTCTTTATTTCTGTTTCCCTCCCACTTTTTCTTGGTTTTGATAGGCCGTAGTGCACAGTACTCACATTAAACAGGGATGGGCAAAAGGAAGAAAGAAAATTAACCCTTTATGGAGGATGAGCTTTGGTCTCCAAGCCAAAAGTGACCTACATGCTCCCCCAGAGCTGGGGATGATGGTAAGCCTGAACTGCTATTGCTCATCTCCAAGAATACAAGGGAAACTCAAATTCAAACACTGTCTATACACGTAGATATTTAATAATGAAAGCTAGGCACCAACTTAAGCTAAGCCATCCAGGCTCCCTCCTCCTGCACTCCCTTCCCTGGAAGGAGTCTCAGGTAAGTGGGATGAGTCTCTTCTGTAGAGCTTTTTCTGCCCAGGGTTGACTTTCTGACACAAAGCAGCAGCAGACCTTCCAGACAGCTGGACAGACTGACTCCCATTCCAGAAGGCTAACTAATTCAAATTTAAATTAAAAGAACCTCTTCCCACAGAATGGTGATGTTGGTGCTCAGTGACAGAGAGGCAAATGTTCAGCTCCAGGAGAAACTGTTTTTTTACTGGATGAATAGCTATGAAATGAGTGGCCAGTGTGAGGCATTTAAGTATGATTTTTATCTTACTGCTTCTTTTAAAATACAACATCAATCACAATAAATGCCTGATGAAGTCCATTCAAGTTGGTATTTTTCTGCTCTTTTTTACAATATTTTTCTTGGTTTCCCTACCCAGGCAGAGGCTGAAGCTGATGAGGAGCTCAAGCAGATGCACAGACACATCCTCACAAATAAAATAAATCCTTCACATACTAATCCTTTAATTTATTTTTACCATCAATTATAAGAGGAAAGCAGAGCACTACAAAATCCAGTGCCTGTTTTAAATACATCCCTTCATTTAGCAGGACTGCAGTGACAGCACTTTTAAAGGCTGAGTGAAACACATGATTCAGGAGCTTTTATGCAGGGCACTTGGAGGCAAGTACAAGTCCTTCAATAGGGGGCACAAATGAAATATAATCCAAAATGAGTTTTCATAGGAAATTATGAGGAAGGATGGAGCAGCAGCATTCAGCCAGCACATTCCAACTGCTCAGATAGCACAGATAGCTTATGTCTTGAAATACAAGCCTTTTTCCTCTGCATTTTTAACAGCTCTGTTTCCTATCCAGTGCACCTGTATAACTTTAATTAAGAAGTGCATCTTCAGATCACTGCTTCCCTACTATAAATATCCTCAGACTTTAAAGAACATTTAATTAAGCCCTCCTCTGGTGCACAGACTATCCAAGGCTTTCAGGTCTGAATCAGACACCCTGGTGGCAACTGCAAACCCAACATGGACACCCCAGAAATGGAAACGTGAGTTCAGTATTCCAGCCAGCAGTCACAGCACTTATTTTCCCAGTATTAGAAATGACACAGCTCCATATTTCAGTCCCTTCCACATCACCTCTTGCTGTTCCAGCTGTTCAGAGTAGCAGACAAACAGGAGATGAAATGACCAGCTGGCTTCTTTCCAGAACTGACCGTGTTTCAGGTGCTGAGACAATTTCAAAAAGATCTAAAAATGGTGTTTATACATTTCCCCCGAGCATTTTAAAAGGTGAATTCTGTCCTTTGTCTGAGGATGAACTGCCCTCATACTCCTCTCTTTCCAGTGCATGTGAGGATGTAGAATCCTATTTTTAAATCCTGCTAAAAATACACTCAGTTCACAGGGGACAGAAGTACATTCTACAGCTGTAGATCTATGAACAACATCAATCTCTCTTCTTTTTGGAAGGGTTGTAGCAGTCTGCAGTCCCTACCACAGCTTAATTGACCCTTATCCCCATCCTGCCTCCTGGCTGGGGTGAAGACTGTCCATCACCACCAACACACTCTGCTGTCCTGCTTAAGCAGGACCTGGGGAGAAGATGAAATTCTCTTCTGTCAGGCTGGGAACTGAGTCCAGAAGGACTTTTTCTGACCAGAAACAAATATTCTTCTGAGCATAGGGTAAAATGCTAGAAACAGAAGATTTAAATACCTCAGTTACGTTGCATTTTTATACCTTGTCTGTGTTTCTCTGCTACTTTGAATTTCATAACCTTTACCTAATGGACATCACAACAGTGAAACTTACAATAAGGGAAAGATGCTGCAGTTGATTAAGGGGTGATTTGAATTGCTAATCCTGCTCAAGTCATTACTGAAGAATGCAATGTTATCTCCATTATGCAAATCTTTATCCCATTCAGTAGGCTAGTAAACACCAGTAAAATGCCAGGCTTCAGTGTATGTAGAATCACTGAGCTGAGCTCTAACATTCCTTACAATTACTCCTGAGGTCTATCTAATCATGTTTCTAATTAGCTTTGAAAGGAAAGAATAAACAATGTGTTTCTATGACAGCAGGGAGCTCAGTGATAGAAGAAAAAAAGGAGTTGGATCTATATTTAGAAGAGTCTTTAACTAAAAGGATTTTCCCTCAGCTTTCTTAAACTATTTTTCAGAAATAAATTAATCTTCCCTGTATGTGAAGTTCACAGGCATCGAATTTATTTTGGTTTTTTTGCTCAGAGACTGTACTAGCACCTGGGGTGGGAAGGATGATGGTCACATACAAACTCCAAGAAACTGGCATCTTCACCCAGCCTCATTTTTAATACAACACAAACTACACAGAACACTCTACTCTACACTCTACAGAGCCCATGCAGAGCTTCCACTTACTTAGCTTTTAGCACACTGAACCATGGGTCACAAAAATAAGACTCTGAATACACTGTAAAACAATCAGTAGGCTTGGCATTGATCTATATTTGACTGCTGAACTCAGAAGGGACAGCAAGAATTACAATTATTTCAAATGCTAGTTTTAAATGATGCCTTCTATTCACTTGTATGGTCATGATCAGCAGTGGGTTTGTCATGGGGAAGGTAGGGAGAGAAAAAGGTTATGCATTTTACAAGAACTGTAGGTAATACATGATTAATTTGAGTTTTAAATGGTAACATAAAAGACTGAGTTATCAAGGTGAAGAGTGTTAATTAAATACAGATTTACATTTCTCTAAAGATTCTTGGCAGACTTGGTCGCTGTTGTGAATCCTGCTATAATCAGACCAAGGGTTAATTAATTATATTCTTTACTGAACAATAAAAAGCCACCCAGTTCAAAGCAACACAGTGCTCAGTGATGGCTTCTGATGGAGTGCTGCTTTTAACACAAAATTCATGTACTGAATAATTTACCTTGAATGTAGCAAAGGCATCAGAAGCAATATCAAATGTTGACATTTCCACATATTTAAAAAAGTCTCTGAAGTGTTCTGAAAACAGTATGATTTTGGCCAAGGGTTCATGGCGGATACACTCTCTCAGCATAATTCCACAGCGTAAGGCAATATTTGGGGATTCATATCTGCAGAATGAAGAGAAACAGAAAACATCAAAACATAGAAGAAAGAAGATAAACAGGCACCTTTCTAGCAACAGGGAATTTTGTTGCACAGGAAGCACCTGCCAGGAGGAACACCACACACTGAGGGCAGCTCCCAGCCAGTGCTGTACCCAGCTGCAGGACCTCATCCCAAAGCTCAGGAGCAGACACAGACAAAGCTGCCAGAATTTTTCATTGCAAACCTCTTTCTTCCAAAGCCAAAACACATTTTTGTGTAAATCTGCACTACACCCCCTCTCTGTGAAAAGACCGTGGGGAGTGTGCAACATTTCAACAGAAATTCTTCACCCTTTTGGATTTGTGAGAAAGCACAGCCTGTACAATATAAAAACCTCCCTTTTCAGATTTAATTCTGAGCTCCTCAGTTTATCCAAGAAAACTGCAACACCTCATGACCATCCATCACCTCCTACTCCTCCTCTAGAGGACATCACTCTGGAGTATGAATGAGGAAGGTAGGAAGAGTCTCTCCAGGCAGTCTGCACAGGATTAAGCTTTCTGTAGCTCTGAAATTTATTTTTTTTCTTCAACTTAAGAGGAGTTCTGCTCAATGCCTCTTCTGCAGAGGCTTTGGCTGTGCTAGGACACAAGCACCCATTCCTCAAGTACAATCCTGTTATGGCACATGAGGCACTGCAATAGCCAGGAGCCAGCACACGTCTCGCCCTTGGAGAGGAAGGAAGGGAGGGAGGGGGGAGGAAATTCAGATCATCTTCAATTTCTATTAAGTCTTGATTTCTTTAAAGCTGAAATTAATCTGAAACAAAACTGTTAGAAACACATTAAAAAACAAAAAGGATGAAATCCAACAGTCAAGAAGGATTTGAAATTAATTTTTTTCCAGCATTCTGCCAGAAATCATGTGAAAGTGGTGAAGTCCAAGGGGACAGAAAGCACTCTCTGTTTCAATAAACTGGTTATACTATATCAGAACTGTGTATTATCACCCAGAGATATCAGCATCGCTTTTCCTTTGCACAATTAATTCCTATCACTAGGCCAATAGAAATACTTTTTTTTTTTTTAAAAAAGGAAGAAAAACACAAAATGCCATCTGTGCTGTAAGTGAGTGGGCCCTCAAATTTACCCCCAGCATGCAGTTTAAAAGAACAGTTGTGTTCTGCAAGCATACCAGAGCTGCATACTTCAACCTGCTGTCAACAATAGTTGGCTTAATGAAAATGGATTGCTATTCCAAACAGGCAAATGAAGCTTCCCACCCTCAAGGAAATGCACTCAAGCCCCTATTTGTTTTGGTTTGGGGAAGCATTTGCAAACTTGAATTTCTAACTCTTCAGACAGCAGAAATTCACTGATGTTTCCCATTGAGGCATCAGGTCCATTAACAGGAATACTAATTTTTAAGGAAAATGGGGCAGAGCTGCTCCTAGGAGTGCAGCCAGGAAAATATTTAATAGTTGGCTAATGAATATTTTGGTTGGAATAAAAGCAAATTACATTGTTTCCAGCACAATAACTTTTAAAAACATTAAGTATCAACAGAATTCTTCTTAGTCAAATGCTCCATTATCTGGAAGTGGGTTATGGACCTTTGGCTGTTCACACAAATGAGGGAAGTTGTGTTTAGTGCCTGGAACAAGCCTGGAAGTTTACAGGCTGCCCAGTCATAGCTAGCATGTCCTTTGCACCCACACTTCATGCAAAGCCACCAGGCAGGAATGAAAGAAATGTGATTCAAAATCACTTCTAATGAGCAATTAGTGCTCTATGCTGATGTATTTTCACAGCAGAAAAAATTTCTGAGTTCTTCTCTGTTTGGATGAACTTACAACCTAAAGAAACCCCCACACAGTGAATACTGGAGAGAACTAGAAAATTAAACAATGGACTTGAAGTATTCCAAAACACTTATTGTGAAGTTTGAAAGAGGCAAGACTGAGAGCAGAAATGCATTTCTGTGTAAAGGGAATCATTCTTCCATGGTTACTGCAGAAGATGGTACAAGGTGAGGAGCACAGGCAGGAGATTTGGAAGGCATCAAGCCTGGGAGACACAAGGTCTTAAACAGATGTATTCTGATCTGACTTTACATTACTTGTGTAGCCTGAGTTCATCCTTGGATAAATTCAAGGGGCATTCTACAGCCTCAGCCAATACACCATTAAAGCTTTAACTGAGCTGTGATGTGAAGAGGTCATCACAACACAGGCTGGGGCAGTGTCTAGGGTAGAGATAGCATGTGGCAAGAGATATAGATATATAGATATATATTCATAAAGAGGCTTCTAAATTTGTCATTTGAGAGAAACAATGCAAGTGCCATAAACTAAGTCCTCAACAGTCACTGTCCTAAAGAGAAAATATTTTTAATTACAAAGGACAAAGTTATTTCTGGGCTAATGCAATAGGCTGACACCAGAGCAAAAAATTGGCCCAAATACAACTGGTTCTCTATGTACACCAAATACTGTACTCATCTGAAATCCTACACACAAAGCCTGCACACAGAAAAGAAGATGCAATTAAAGCAAGTCTTCGTACAGCAGCAAAGTCAAATAACCCACACAAAGGAAAGAAAATTTTTTAAAAAGTGAACTATACGCTGTGTGTTTTCTGAAGCTGAGAAGCTGGAAGGAAGCAGTCAACAAGTAAAACGAAGCCTAAAAGGTAGGAACTGTTATCTGAAGTTGGCAGTTCCACTGGAGTATGAGACAGGAAACGCTGGGTGGGAGCTCTGATTGAAGATCCTTCCCACCCAGCAGAGCTCACATTAAGCCACAAAAAAGAAACCTTTTGCTTTTGGGGACTGACACGGGCCAGAGGAAATTTTGCATCCAATGGAAGTACCACAGTCACAACAGTCTTGAGCCATTTATTTTATAGTCATGGTAGAGGTGATTTTTTTCTCTCTCCAGGTAATGTGATGTCATGTAACAAACACAGAATGGCATAAGTCAGCCAAACTCACTTTCCTTTAGCAGAATTTAATTTCCTATATTTGCTATAGCAATATATAAATATATATCTATATAGTACAAATAGTATAATTCATTCAGCATTAAATAAATAAGAAAACATGTCCTCAAGTCACATTTTTATGTGGTGGTGTCTAATATGAGGTGCTTGTTTCCCAGTCCTGCAGCTTCTAGGGCTCTAGGCTTCTACTGACAGATTCAACTGCATTTTTAACAAGACATTCCAGAAATGGCAATTCTGAGCTGCAGAGGACTAGTCAGGACATGATGAACAAGGAGCCCAAGGACCACAGACACATTCCTGCATGCAGCAAGATTCTCAAAAAAAAAGCATCTTAGTGATTCTATTTAAATTCATCCACCAGCTTAGGTCACTTACTGTAAAATGTCTGTCAGAAGGATATATGCATAAAAACTTTACTATCATCTCAATATTCTTGGTTGCTACAGATGACAAAGAAAATCTGGGACATAATCCAAAAATATTTTTTATCTTTAAATAAAGCCCAGACATATGGTAGTGATACATGCTCAATGTGCAGGATCAAAATGAGTGAAAAACTGAAAAAAACAGACAGAGAAAAGGGAAGAAAATTATTGTATATACATAGGAAATTAAAAACTGTTTGTAATAATGATGGAGAGAATTATCATCACTGTCCTGACATTTAAAAGACCAAAAAAATATTTAATGCTGAAAGTTGTGGAGTTAATTACAGAAGGAATTTAAAGTTGAAGTTCACTTGTGGCCACAAGCATTGGAGAAGTCTGTCCCACAGGCACAACTACTTTTTTAATGCATTTTTGCTTCTTTCTGTTCTACCACTCAGTGCTCCAGTTTGACTCCAGTTATTTACAGACACCACTGCTCGTCACTCCTGCAATGCAAAAATGTCTAAATGAACCTGAGCAGTCACCAGCAATGCTACACAAGAGTTCATGGTGAGAAATGAAGTACACATCTCTTGACTGTGCAGTCAAAAACAACCAGCACATAATTATTTCAACATGAAGTTTGGAGAAGAAATAACAGACAAATTAAATAATCTGATCATTAAAAAGTATAGAGTTCCACAGAAAGAAAGTCAATATGAAAAAAAATTAAGAAAGCTGGAACAAAATCTGAAAATCCTTTTTTTTTAAAAAAAACAAACTAAAAGTGAGAAAGTAGATCAACTGCAATGCCAGCATGTTCCAGGCAATGCTCTTTAATGAAACTCAAATTAAAGCACCTACCCTTTTAGAAGCATGAATAGGATATGTGGATGGGCACTAATGTACTCCACAGTAGGGCTGCGCGTGCCAATTTGTCTTCTCAAGATGTTGTTGAATATCTGGGAAACATCCTTTTTGCCCTGTTAAAGAAGCAAAATATATCTTTGTTAGAAAAACATGAGAAAACAAACATTTACTATAACAATGATTTAAAGTGCAAATGAAACTGAAATTAGAACAGGTCAGCCTTTTTTTTCTCCAGTCTCTGCTTCATATTTGCTGTTTCTCCAATGACTAAAGAAGACTTCCTCCTTCCAGTGGTCCTGAAGGCTCCTGACTTCCCCAGTCCCATTTGCACCTTTTTGTCCCTAAATGAAGATGTGCATGCCTCTTACACTGCCACCCAAGTCCCTGGCTATTTCAAATAGCAACACAAAAGCACCATAAAAGCAAGCCAGTACCCTGAGCCAAGCCTGCTGCTGCCGTGTGTGCTGTTACTCCTGCAGCCCCCAAATGTGAGTAACAGAGCTGGTACCAAACCACTGCCACACTGCCTACACTTAAAAAGCTAAAGCTTTTTATCAGTCCAGTGCAAACAACTCCAAGTGTGATTACATTTCTGAAAATCAGGGTTCAGTTTAAACTGTGCCCATTATTTACCATGGAAAATGAAATAACTGCTACCAATAAAACAGCTGCATCACGTGCGTATCTCTGCTTTAATCAAAACTTCAAAATCAAATCAAAATCCTTCTCTCTGTCTTGATGTTGTGCTGTATGCACCTCTCTACACAATCACAGCCTGTCTTCAAATGCTTCCCTGTGCAAACAGCTTTCCAGAAGGTCTTTCCAAGTCATGTTCTGTTCAGTCAGAGGGTTCACCAGTACATCTTGCATTAGAAATCCACATCCTCCCCCGCCACTTTCTCCCCTGGCACAGCAGACAAATTGATGTGGAGTTAAGGGAGGTGAGAGATGGCTGCACTAAGGACCAGTAACCAAGGCACTGAGTCAACAGCAGGGCACCATGCACAGGGCAAGCTAAAGCAAAAGGTCACTTATAATCTGTACATGCTGATTGATCTGTCTTGGGAGGACAAACATTCCTTGGCAGAGAAATTATTGAATGTTTGAAGCCAAGGAGCAGAGAGTTTCACACGGAGGAAAATTCCCTGGTTTCACCTCTACAAATAAATCAGTGCTGAGGAACACAAAATATTCTGCCTTCCTACTTGATCCAGCCCAGCTGGCTTGGAGACTTGGAGACTCTGGGAATTAAACAGGAGAATCAAATCAGCGCAGGCCAGTCCATCTGCCTTTGTCTGCAACACTTTTTTTGACCCTTGGACATAATTTCAAATAGGCTAATTCTGTATAAAGTCATCCCATTCTTCCCTATCTTTACAACACCCATATCATATGCCTGGAATCCTGTGATCCCCACGGGCTTCAGCAGTAACTCCAAGATGAAAACAATTCAGACAGAGAAGAGCTGTTGAAAGGGTGAGATAAAGATGGCCAGAAATTAAGTGATCCTCTCTGCTATGCTGAATTTTATACTAGTTACTTAATACTGTGTGCATTGCAGCATAATATCCATGAGCAGAGAGGGGATAGATACAGATATCTAGATATATAGATATATACATATAGATATCTAGGTATCTAGATATGTGTATCCAATTATAGCTAATTTTCTAGAGATCAGTGATAGGGAAAGCCAGAGTTGACCTCCATGGGTTCTCCAGGAGGGAATGAATGCAAATAGAATGGAACCACGACAGATTTCCCTCACCACCTGACATACACTAAAATTGCAGGAGTACTTTTGAAACATTCCTTACTTGGATCTGGAATTGAATTTTGCCTTATAATGAAATACATATGGCCACTGAAGCACAAGATAAGGCAGCATGAAGAAAAAGTGGCTAGACAAGAATAAAAACCCTGCCAAGGATGTATTATATAAATACAAATTGTATAATACCTATACCATAATTTAGCGCCTGTTTCAAGGCAGAATAAGGGAAAGATTATAAAATCACCAGTCCTGGACTTTTAGTTATTTACTGCCTATTTTAGGGGCTTTGCAGTTTGTGAACCCTTAGGCTTACACACAGTAACATCTACATTTTCAGTTGACTTCTGCTGTTTGCACATTTGCATCAGTTATTTAAAGTTAAAAAATAAATTTAAAATATTTTAAATTTCTGAAAAGCCAGTCTGATCTTGATTCTGGGCTCCTGCCCAAACCTGACTTTAATGCTTCAAAACAATATCATCACTGAAATTATGTCTTGTTTGTTGAGTGGCAGAAGCAATAAACCTGTGTCTTCTATGGATGTGTGATGGATGTGTGATGGAAGTCTCCCCTACTTTGTCTTGGAAAACATATTTTCAAAGGGAAGTTCAGCTGTGAAAAACTGGAATCAAAGTGGGCAGCAGGGTTGGTGAAGAGGACACAGGGAATCAGGACAAAGCAAAGTAACATTATTGCCTTCAGAAATCAGATTTTCAGTAGTTTATGAGCTGCTTTTTACCATTACATATGGGTAACAAAATTACTTGCATGTTATAGTGCAATGAAATTGCTTGTGCAATGAAGCAACTTAGACACCAGCTGTAGCCACCAATATAACAAAATGGAAACAGAAAAGTTGATAAACTGGAAAAGTCAGTGGGAAGACATGAAGACAAAGCAGCACATGCTCTTACTGTCCTCTTGTTTAGTGACATTTGGTTTCTAGTGTTTTGTCCAAAAAACATGTACAACAGCTTGGCTAAATGATTGGAAAGCTTTTGCAATTAATAAAAAATATATTTTGCAATAAGAATTATGAGAATTGTTTGTAATAACAGCAATTCAACAACAGATTAGGTATTTCATCCAGGGCTCGCTTTTAAAGACTGCATGCTCAATATGTTGATACAGAATTTTTTTCTGGCAAAAGCAATACAGACTGTCATGTAACTAAAAAAATGCAGAAGTGTCCCTTCTGTGCTTACAGTATCTTCTCCTCCCCCCTTCTCCATTTCTCTTAAAGGGTTTTTTAAGGGCTTGGGTTGTTGGGGTTTGAGTATTTTTGTAATTAGACATTTAACAGTAAACAGAGGAGGCACAGAGAAGACAAAGCATTAAAAAAAACCTCCTGAACTTAAGACCCAAGCAAGAGTGAGAGAATTCCACAAAAAAAAAAATTTAAAAATTGATACATTCCATTTTCAAAAAGTAATACAAAATAAGTAAATCAGTCCTTGATTCTGGATTTACTGGTGGTAAGGGGTGCAGTGGGAAAAATGAAATATAAATCACCCATTTTCCTCCTTTTCATTCATTTACAAAACGGAAAGAAAATAACTTCTACACATGACTCCCACAAAGGGTGTCTCTGAGAGCATCAGATCTCTTTGAGAAACTGATTTTTCTCTCCAGCAGCTGCCTGTACATTGGGTACTGCTCCTGTTCCAGACCTCAGCAGTGGAGGTTTGGCTCCCAGGCGCTGGGGATTTCCCGCTGGTGGTTGGACACTTGTGAGGAATCCCCAGCCCAGGAGGCACAGAAATCATGGAACTCAAAACAGCATTCCCTGGGGCACTATCCCAGCTGAGTGCAAACCACAGAATGACAATGGCCTGACAGTGACAGAGTTTAATCCCATCCCTACCAGTCAACAGCAAATGAACAGGATTGATATTTATCCTGAGTTACTGCAATCTTTGCTACTATCACTCTTCTTCTCCTTACTTACAAGCAAATTTAGTTGTCATAGCAACTGTTTAGTAGGTTTTTGGTTTAACAACAAAGCTGGCAAGAAATTCCAAAGAATATATAATTTCATATTTAAATATATGAAATTAAATAATATATATACATATACATTCATATTAATCTTTATACCTCTCTATTAATCTATCTATTAATCTTTCTAATATCTGAAAAAAATGTTATATTCCTTTATTCTTTTAATCAAAACAATTAAGTGGGGGATACCCAAATTACCTTGTGACCTGCTGTCTGTTTTTATCAGTTTTTTCAATTCCTTTCCTCTCAACTAAACAATTTTAATTCTTCCAGTGTTTGTCACATGAAATTATCCATGCTTCCAATTATTTTCATTCCGTGTCCCTGAACACTCTCTATTGGACACTCTTCAGAGACAGCAGGTAGCTCTAGTAGAACTATCCCAAACATCATCCCTGCAATTTACAAGGTTGGTCCTAGACAGTATTCCCAGCACCATGCCCTATCTTGTTTGGATACACATGGAAATATTTCTTTATATTTTTTGTTTTAATTTTAAAAAACCAGATATACTGCCAGTGTCTTTCAGGACACTAGCCAATCTAGAGCAGCAACTTTCTTCAGCCTGTGGAAAACAGTTTTGAACACAATGAAGTTATTTAGACTTCAGAAAAATATGGCTCTAGTTACTGACAACATCAAGACCAAGGAGTTGAAAAAAGTTTCTGGATGCTGACCTACCTCAAAATCTATCAGCTGCAGGTTGGCAATAAGGGTCACTAGAAGGCCACTGTTGTAGAGCTCTTGTGCCAGCTGGGCCACGATTTCTGTGGGTGGCTCTTTGTCTGTGGTCCCACACAGAATTTCTTTCATTGCTTGCAGAGATTTTGACACTTCCTCCGATGCCTTTTCGCCAGCAGATGATGGGTTTTGTTTTTAAAAAATGAAACAAGGAAAAAAAATGTTCTTTTAAAAGGCATGCATTTCAAAACAAATGTTTCTAAATGTACTTATAATGACCATTATCTATTGCAAAATGATAACAGAATTTTAGGTAACCATGGAGGCTGGAGCATCCACACTGTACCCTGCAGGCCTCACACAAGAAAAATTCAATTTATACATGACACACCATCATTTACACACCATGGGCACAAAACAGGGCCAAGAGAGCAATTACCAGCCAGCACCAGAGAGATCCTTTAGCAGGTTTGGAGGCAGGCACAGCCCTGCAGAGGCAGCAGCAATTTCACTGTTGCTGCCCCTGTCCCCCCCAGCGGGCTCCGTGGCACACGTGGGGCAAGATGAAGGTGCCAGATGAAGGTGCCAAGGCAGGTGGCTGCTCCCACCAGAGGGTGGCTGCTGGGCTGCCTCCCCACCCACTGCTTCCTGATGGGCTGTCCCAGCTCCTCTGCTGGCAACACAAATAAATCCTCACAGCCCTGTGGCACTGCTTAGCCCAGCAGGCAGCTGACACCACACAGCCACTGGCTCACCCCCCCTCAGCAGGATGGGGAAAGGAACTGGGGGGAGGAAATAAATGTTTAGGTTGAGATAAAGATAGCTTAATAGGATAGAAAAGGAAGGAAGAAATAGCAGCAATAAAAACAATAACAATAATAAACACCAAGTGATGCACAGTGCACTTGCTCAGCACCAGGGTCCAGCCAGCATCCTGTACTGAGCACAATGCCATGTGCTATGGAATATCCCTTTGGCCCACAGCTGTCCCAGCTGTGTCCCCTCCCAGCTTCTTGTGCCCCCAAACCACTCGCTGGTGGGGAGGGCTGAAGAGCAGAAAATGCCCTGACATAGTGTAAGCACTGCTCTGCAACAACTTTTTAGTTTTTAGAATGTTACCAACTTTATTCTTATCCTAAATTCCAAACACAGCACTTTAGCAGCCACTAGGAAAAATATTCACTTTATCCCAGCCAAAGCTTGACAGCTTCACATTGCCTCATCTCATTTCTCCTCATCAGGTGTGGTTTGAGCCAGCATCTTCCACAAGGGATTTGCTCACTGAGCACACAGGCACTTCAGTCTCAGGTTGAGAAATTTAAATTAAACAATTTGCTTTAGTAAAGTTCCACAGCTGCCACCAAGTGAAGTAAAATAGATCTTTCACATCTTTTGCTCCCATCTAGAGTATACTAATTCTGTGCAATGTTTCAGGTACCTAACGTAGAGGATGAATCAGAATTACCTTACAAAGAACCTTGACCTGAAGGATTACAACAGGGAAAGGAAAGAGACATGCCTGTAAACAGGTAACAGCTCAGCATCCATGCAGTCAGCAGGTTCAAATCAGATGTGAGTGGCAATACCCATTCCCAAGGAAAAGGATGCTAGCTACAGGATGGCAGCTCTGGCTCCACTCTCCTCACAGCTATGCTCCACTTTGAACAAATAAAGACTCTGTGGTGGAAAGGAGTAATTTTTTTTTTCATGTGGATGTGTGTGCTGTAAATCCCACCTGCTCCAGCCATGGGGCTACAGAGGCAATGGCTCCTTCTGGGTTGGGTTATATTTAATACAAACATGACCTGCAGCAAGGCCAATTGGATTCTTTGGCAGGAAGTGGGAAGGAAGTAAGGAACAGGTCTGAAAGCTGAGAATGACAGCAAACTGACAGGCAGGATGCTGAAGACAGCATTTCACATCTTTGAAAAACTTTAACTTGAAATTAGCCTTTTGTTAGCATAGCAGGTGGGGAAAAAAAAAAGATCAAGACAAACACAGAAAACCCAAGAGTGAATTGTAAAAGCTAACTGGAAATTAATGGATATTCAAAGCCACATCAATAATTTCTATATATCTCTCACTTACATTGAAAGGAAAAACATCATGCTTTGAAATACCACCCCATCACAGTGCTCTGAAGAGGTATCTCCCACCTGCTGCTGATCTCCCAACATTTTCAATCACAGATTTTATTCACATTAGTGAATAAAAATGATACAAAAACCCTAGAAGCCCTAAAAAAACCCAAAACCAGCCACAGTAAAAAGCCACCTTTACATTGCAGCTACCTGGAAGATTTAAGCATTGATTTTGCACAGCCTAAAGAGCTGCTCTCCTCCAGTCTCTTCATACCTACTTGCAGATTTCTGCTGGCTGAGATAGGTCAGCATGAGCAGCGTGTAAATGAGCATGACTGTGTGATAACTTCTAACAGCAGCAGTCTTGATGTTCCTTACCATCACTCAGCAAAAGAGCCTATTTTTACCTCAAATGTTAGTCGTGTGTCACTTGAGATATCCCACAGAGTACAGATGGGATTAACAACAGGGGCTCTATCTTAGAAACTACAGCTCTAAATCTTTATAAGAGCTAGGGAAATATTTTCATTTCAAAGGCAAAGCTCATACATTTTTGGCTTTCCACCCTTTCTGCTGGGCTGGGTGTGAATATCTCCGGCATTCTGTAGTTAAAAAAATTAATCACTTTTCTTTCAAGTATAAGTAGTCCTTTCTGATATGTAGAAAAAAGGTCAGCAGGACTCAGCTTTAGGTTTAATTCTCAAAAAGGAGGCCAGAAACTGCAGTGTGAGGAAATGAAACATAGAACACTGCTGCTGGTGGGCAGAAGTGGCCACCACAGCTGATTTCTCTAATCACCTGCCATCCCATCCACTCATCTCCTCAGCTTTTCCACATGCAATTTACATTTAATGTGTCACTTCCTCCCCCTTCACAGCCTCTCCATGGTCGGTGTTTTGATGTGCTACTCTCCACCAAAAGTTATCCACGGTCAAATCTAAGGATTGCTCCTCAGTGGATATCCCTCACAATATATCTGGAGGAAAACCATAATCCCAAACACAGATTCTTAAATTAACAGCCTCCGTTTTGACATTTCCACTTAATCTCACAGCAATTTTAGAATAATACTTTAAGTACACAAGCACTGTTTCTGGGATGGAAACTTTGTTAATACTCAGAGAAAAAAGACATTCCAAGATCCAAAGACCCAACATCTGTCCAAAACAAACAACAAAGCACATTTATTCACTCAAATACATGGAAAATACAAGATGACAGAAACATATCTGCATAAGAAGTCAGACCAGTCCTGAACCTCTTTAGGAAAAATTGCAAAAACCAACAAAAAGCCTCAGCAAGACATCCTCCCCCCAGTGGTGTCACAAACAGAATTTCAGTGACAAAAAAATACAAAGGATTTGCTAGAAACCCCTAAGTCTATTATGACTTCCATGCTGCTTTTTATTTTCCATCAGTGGCAAGAGCAACAATGTCAGAGTGCTGCAACCATCACTCCAGCAGAAGTTACAGTGCAAAAGAAACAATTTCATGAAAAAGCACTTCAGCCATTTGCCTCACTCTTGCAATTAGGCACAATCTTATTTCCAGGAGATTTTCCTTTTGTCCTCTAGGTACAAGTCCTCTCCATCATGACTGAATTTATGCCATTATATTTAGGAAGGCACTTGTGAATAGAGAGGAAAAAAGGAGGAAAGAAGAAAACTAAACACATAATGCTAAACAGAACAGTTTATACATAGACATACTAATGTCAAAAGTGGGATATGCTGAACTTTGGACAGTCACAAGTTGCAGGTAGGGACAAAAAAGTGAGAATGAAATACAAGCTGATTCCCAGCACACACACAAGTTTAGTATTTGCACTGCACAGATGCCAGGATCTCAACCTCCTAAGCCAAGTTTCCAGTCTTTCCAACAAGTCTCTTTCCAACAGGAACTGAGTCTGTATCCTCAGAGTGTAGTTAATAATGACCATCAGCCCCACAAGAGGTTTTTAGGTCCATTTTGAAAGACAGGATTTTGTGTAAATGTTGAAATCTAACAATCCTTGGGTTACTCTGCCAACCCTACTGGACTAGATGATCCACAACAGGCGTGGAGATGGAACACAGACAGTATAGATAAGCCTGCACAACTTCTCTATGTTAAATTATAAACATGTTCAACATCCCCTCCTCATAAAGCTGATTTTTGTGAGTATTTATGTGTCTTTCTAAACCTACAACAGCTTCAACCAGAGCTGGAAATTTTGTAAGTTGAAGATTGTTGTCCTGGTTTGTTTTCCTCACAGATCAAAGTTTTGTCACTGTTGACATAACGGGAACATAACACAAAGAAAGGAGCTTACGGAAAAATGATTCCCTGAAATTCTACATGAAAAATGTCTTCCCTGAAAGACTGATTGATCTTCAAGTGTGGGATAGGCTGCGGAGGGGACAGCCACAAGAATATGGCAAATATGCACATACAGGTTCTTTCTGTGTACCTAGCTCATTCCCAGATTCCAAAATCTCTCTATAAACTGTTTCTCTTTTGCACAGCAGCAGACAGTAACACACAGAGATGCCTGCCAGTGCGATGTTAAACACTCGGTTTTTGTGTACCTAGCTCATTTCCAGATCCAAAATCTCTGTATAAACTGTTTCTCTCTTGCACAGCAGCAGACAGTAACACACAGAGATGCCTGCCAGTGCGATGTTAAACACTCGAATGTGTGATTCAGTGATCTGCCAGTACTCCATGCTATATACTGCAACTAAAAGCATAGAGCTCCTTGATTTGGTCTTATCTGGTTTAAAAATATTCTCACTGTGTGATTCAAACCAATTTTTCTCCTAAAAAGCAGTGCCAATGCAGCTCTCTCTACATGCAACTGTAAGGATTCCCAAGAAAAGCCATTAGCAGAATCTGAATCAAGCAACCACCTAACTTCAAGATCACCCCAACTGACTTATTCTTGATGCAATTTCATGCTGAATGGATCTACAGGGACAAATTGTGGATATTTTGGATCAGGAGGCCTGACATCTGTTACATAGCAAAACATTATGGACTAGTACTCAAGGAAGCTGGCAAAGACAATTTGGGCAAGCAAGCACAGCAGGGAAACGCCTTTTGAAA